TAATTTCAGCTATTTTTTTGTCTTGTGGACTAAATGTAAACATCTTTTATGTAAAATATCTTACTCAGGACAGTACTAAATAAAAAATAACATGCATTTTGTATGATCTCTCTTATTTTGTTAAAATTATTCCCATTTTCACAGATTCTGCAAGGGGTTCCCTAACTTTTTCATGTTTTTTTTTTCTCCGTACTGTGGAAGTCAATGGGGGACCATCAACTGTTTGGTTACCTCCATTCTTCAGCAGCCTAAATAAATCTGCTGCTGTCTGTGTCATTACGATTTAATTATGCAGTGAAGACTATCCAGTGTTATTTTACAGTTGAATTTGTTTTTTGTTTTGTTTTTTACAGTTGAGTTCAGTTTCAGTAGTAATTCTGTACCTAAATATTACTGTTAGACCTACCTGGAAAACTTAATGTACTGTTAATTTCATTTGTGTCTTGTTATTTATTTATTTGTTCTTATTTTATTATTTACTGTTTACTTGCCTTTTTTAGTTCAAATAAATTGAATTCTGAGTTTGAGTGCAGATGATTCTTGGGTGAAGGGGGCGTGGTCCATGGGAAACAGTCTTGCCACCACAGCTGGAAAAAATCCTAGAGGAAACACTGAATGAAACGACTTTTATCTGATACCTACAGTGAAAGTCTTCTGCAGATATGGCCACAACAGTGTGTATCTGTGATGTTTTCCTCAGTTCGGGCGTCAAACTCAGGTCCTGGCAGCCCATCCCCTGACTGGTACAAAGAGTTTGTGACCGAGACAGATTCTGAGGTGCTGGAGCATTCTGGGAAAATTGTGCTGCTTTTTGAGATCCTCCGCATGGCTGAAGAATTGGAAGAAAAAGTGTGAGTTAAGTTTTGTCAGATTAGCAAACAGTTCTTCCTCCGGCTCAGAATTCATCGTCTTCCGTGTCATACGATCAGATATGTGACGGTCACGTGTCCTGTGTGCTCAGGTTGGTGTTCAGCCAGTCTCTCATTTCTCTGGACCTCATTGAAGATTTCCTGGAGTTGGCAGGCAGAGCCAAAGAGGAAGGCAAGCTTTCGCCGTACAAAGGTGAGGCACTTTTAGGACCTGACTGGTACAAAGAGTTTGTGACCGAGACGGATTCTGAGGTGCTGGAGCATTCTGGGAAAATTGTGCTTCTTTTTGAGATCCTCCGAATGGCTGAAGAATTGGAAGAAAAAGTGTGAGTTAAGTTTTGTCAGATTAGCAAACAGTTCTTCCTCCGGCTCAGAATTCATCGTCTTCCGTGTCATACGATCAGATATGTGACGGTCACGTGTCCTGTGTGCTCAGGTTGGTGTTCAGCCAGTCTCTCATTTCTCTGGACCTCATTGAAGATTTCCTGGAGTTGGCAGGCAGAGCCAAAGAGGAAGGCAAGCTTTCGCCGTACAAAGGTGAGGCACTTTTAGGAATGTTTTCCTTGAGCCTTAATCACGGTGCTTTGTAATCTTTTGGATTTTCTGTGCTAGACATTTCTGCCATTCAAAGTCTGCATGCTTTTCATAATTAATCTCTTACAAAGAATGACAGGATATTGTATTCATTATTTTGTGCAGTGCATCATTTAAAATTCTTACTATGTCAGCATGAAATCAAAACTCAGACTAGTTACTTTTGTTGTACATGTTCCTGGTCTTATTGTGCGCAATGGGTCAGTCCATACTTCCAAAGAAAAAAAATTTGCAAAAACTTTCAAAATGTAATGTCTTGCTCCACATCTTATACGACTTTCCATGTCATTGTCCATGTCCATGTTTGTATTGTGTGTTTTGTTGTATGCTTATGTTTTTATTTGAATTATATTTGCTGTAAATTGAACATTGATATCAGCAAATAAGTGAGCACTAATCCAGTGAGTGCAAACTGTGGTTACATGCGGAAACTCACCTGATATCTGCGCACACATCTGACACCGATCTGGGTTAAGTGCCCGCAGAAACACACAAATATGTGCATGTAAACATAAAGCCTCTGGAATAAGGTCACGGACCCAATTAAACCCTCACAGCTGTTTTAACTTTCATTTTGAAAATGATTAGGCCTTTTTTATTTTGCAAAAAAATGTTTGCTTAAGGCTTTGCAATTTGTAATGAAAAGATCACAGAGGAATAATTGGAAACATATGAAATGTTAGTTATGAACACGAGTGTGGGAGGCCACAATATTAATTGCTGAACATGAGTTATTTGGGCTTTGCCACCTATTAGGGCTGCACGATATATCGAAATATCGCAACGACGTGCGATATCATTATCATTTTAATAATAGGCTACTTAAATCAAAACTTTGCAAAAGGTCAAAGTTTTCGTTCGACGCATATAGCAGAGAATTGCTTGATGTTAAAGAGTTAAGTGCAATAAGTTGCAGAAAACAACTCTTTGCCGTCTGACTCACACCTGAAGCACACGCACAAGCCGCATCTCACACAGCGTCTCTTCAGTTCTGCCGCACATGTGCAAAGCGCGCACACACAGAGACGCGTTTCAGACCGAGTTGATTGGTCTTTCGCATCTCCTCCTTATGTTTGAACAGACACATACACACAGAATTATGTCAATAGTACCCGTCTCGACGATCATTCTCGTAAACGCAGTCGGTTATGTTTTAAATGAATGTAAACAGCTGAGAAAGAAATCGGATGTGTATCATTATACTGGATCCGTGCAGTCGGATTTAAAGGGACAGCAGCCTATAAATAATGAAACCGAAACCAAATAGCTTTGAAACAGGAAGTGAAGTAAACAGAAGAGAATGACAAAATAACGGTCCACATAACAGAACATAAACCTGACAATAAGATCGTTAGGCTATCGTTAGCCTATATGTATAACAGTTAGCCTAGATGTAATCTGATCTTCTAATCTGACTGGACAAGAGACTTTCTATTGATATTTCCACCTGCACGCACGCGTTCTAGACGGGCTGTCAGTCAGTGCAGTTACAGTGTTGCGCCACAAAGTGTTTGAGTGAGTCTTTAAACCGTTCATTCAACTACACGCTCAAAAACGCTGATTCATTAATTCAAAGAGAGACGTAATGAAACACGCTGTTGAAATCATTTTAACTTTGAGCGCCACTTTAGAAGGCTCAGCTGACCAGCTATGCGTCGATGCTAAGACAGAGATTTCGCTTTCCTTGGACATGACAACCTATTTTCACAAATATATAGGCCTATGACTCGGCCTGGAGGACAGACGCAAGTAATCGCACGCGCTCAGTCGATCTCTCATACACTGTCTGTTTAGGCTTAAGTGCAAATCTACGGAGCCTCTGTACAAATCAGCATGGTACACATTATGTTATCATTACTAACTTGTTTAATATTCAGTCCACATGCATGAAGTGTAAAATGAGAAAGGCATAACCCGCAAAAATCGCGGTTGCTGCGGTTCTTGCATTTCTCTGCGGTTTGCTCGTCAATAGCGCGGTATTGCGATATTGCGGTTATCGCGACAGCCCTATATTAAAGTAGTGTCATTAATTTTTTTGTTTGTACGTTCACATTGATGTTAAATTTACATTTTCATCACTTTTTATTTCACTACTTTTTAAGTAATGCTAAAACACTGCTGGTCACTTTCAGAAGTTATAGTGATTCTTTATTTTCCAAGAAAGAATGTGAAACAAATTGGTTATATAATATTCATTTTTAAATATTTTAAAATATCATTTAAATTGATTTTACACACTTTAAGCAATATCGTATCGCATATCGAATATCGCATTTTTTAACAAGGTATCGCATTTTTCTTCAATATCGCACAGCCCTACCACCTATGTAGGGTACATACTTTCCCCTGAGCTCTCCATGTACAGCAAACCCTACCAGGGATGACAGCTGCATAAAACCTTTGCTAGAACTTGATTGTTGACTGGCTGTGCTGTTATTCTTTCCTCAAGGTGAGGGCAAGTGGTTCAGAAACATTGACTACTATCGTCTAGATGGTTCAACGAGCGCCATGACCAGGAAGAAATGGGCAGAGGAGTTCAATGACACCAGTAATGTTCGGTAAAGCTGTTTTCCCTTTTGAGTAGCAAACAGAGGAACCGTTGAACTCGTTTTTCCATGATTGTCAAGCACTTGTGTTCTTGTTCTTCTCCACAGGGGGCGATTGTTCATCATCTCAACCAGAGCTGGCTCTCTTGGGATCAACTTGGTAGCTGCAAACAGGGTCATAATTTTCGACGCCTCATGGAACCCATCCTACGACATTCAGAGTATATTCAGAGTCTATCGCTTTGGCCAAGTGAAGACCGTGTTTGTCTACAGGTTTTTGGCTCAGGTGAGAAATTTAGTTCTGACATTTGGACGAATGTATTTGCTGTGTTTATTCCGTGTAGAAATATGTATGTTTATTCACAGACAGGGCAGATCAGATCTGTAATGTTTTTGGACATGTTTCTTTCTATAGGGAACCATGGAGGAGAAGATCTATGACCGACAGATCGCCAAACAGTCGCTGTCCTTCAGAGTTGTGGACCAGCAGCAGATTGAGCGTCATTTTACCATGAACGAACTGACGGAGCTGTACGCATTTGAGCCCGACCAGCTGGACGATCCTTCGGAGAAGAAGAGCAAGCGGGCCACACCCATGCTGCCCAAGGTGAAAACCGCTTCAATACCACCTGTTTTTCTCTGTTTTGTTTGACCGCAGAAAACATATTGGAGTTTTGTCTCAATTTGTCAACTGAAATCAGATTTGTTTGTATAGCACTTTTCACAATACGCATCGTTTCAAAGCAGCTTTACAGAAAATCATGATGTTAATATTGACAAGATGTTAAAGTCCTCATGCCTCACACATTAAGCAGATTAGGGCTACAAGCAATCAAGCAGTTGTGATTTGCTATGTAGTATATATTGGCCAACACAGGTATACTTGTATATATGCGGATAAAGTTAAACATACTTCTATATCCAACTTTGTATAAAGTGCAGGGTGATAATATAGTTTAAATATACAAAAACAATCAAACAATTTAGATTAGATATGTAGTATGGCTTTACATGTATACTGTATGTATGTGGTTACTGTGTGTGTGTGTGTGTATAAAACATAAAACTACAGTTTACATTTTGCCACAATATAAACATTCGTGCTGTGTGGATTTGCTATATAGTGTATAGATTACATAAAGTATACTCGCATTAAAAGTTGGTTATATAGTGCATCCGAGCTTGTTTACAAATCACTGGGCGATGATATAGTTTACATTTTTCGACAATGTAATAATCAACCATGTATTTTACAGTTAATGTAACTCCAAAAAAGCTATCCTAAAGAAATCAGACAAGAATGATGTGACAGAAATGTTAAATATCAATATTGTTACCTTGCAAGTATACATTTTTTTCTGAACATCTCTCTCACAAACACCTTTGGATTTCAATTTCTGTGCTCCTATTGGGTCCATTAGTCTGTGACCTCATATTTAATTGCAATGGTGATTGATCAGCCATCGTGAGCTTATGCACTAAGTGATCCAAGACTACAACCCCCTAAAATCTGCCTCACACTGCAGAATCGTGTGTGCACTGCTGAAGTTGAATGCTCCTGGCCTGTATCCTGTGCACATTACCTTTTGATGTTCACAAGGATTGAGACGCTGTTATTAACTCATGTGCCTGGTTTCCAAAGCTTTCAGTCTTCCTAGAGGGATGAGGATTGGAAGAACAGTGCTCAGCTCTCATCTTAATAGTTCTGACCTATCTAAGCACAGGTGCGCGGTCACACGAGAGAGAACCCCTGAAGATTTTACAAGACCATATCGGCCTTCGATTGTACATCCAGTCTTTCACAACAGCACACAGCTGCACTCTGTGACCCTTGTTTACTGAAGAGTTTTATACTGCAGAACCGATGATGCTGGGATCCTTTAATTGGAGGCAAAGGCATCCAGTACACATCCAACAAATGTGTCCAAAAGCACACAGCTGTGCAGATATTTGTCTTTGTACCTCAGAAGGTTTACACTGGGGAAGATATAGCCCCCCACATCCTCCTGCTGAAGTCCTCAATGTTTTATCATGAGCTGCTCACTTTGGAGTTGATGTTTGAGAAGCTTGTTGTTCTTTATCAAGCTTTTAATCGGAGGTGGAGCCCTACCTTTGTGTGCTGCAGATGACCACATTTGGCCATATGTGCACCAGAATGCAGAAAGTCCGCTGTTATGGATGGAATCTGCTGCCTGTAATCGTCTGAAGATGAGTCAGTCATCCCTCAAAGCCTGTAGTCATATCTCTGTTTCTCACAGTACCCTCGCCAAGTTTATGGAACACAGGAAATATTTCTAATCCTGGCAGACCTCTGCCCACCATTCTTTCCTTACCTTGTGTAATGTGTCTGCATCTTGATCTTTTTTTAAAAAGCCAAAAGAATGACACTTGCACCTTTTTTTTTTTTTTGTGTGAACACATCTTATGTTCTTTGGACAGAGAACTTAGATGTGTTAAACTATTAGCTAACATAATTTAAATAGCTAGTCTACAATGCCTTAAAATTATGTACTCCCGCTACCCCAGTTTTTACTGTTAAAATTGTGCATCATATTTTTGACTATTCACTTTATTGTAGGGAAAAAACTCATTTCAGTTAAAAAACGAGTAATTAATGAAATTGTGACACCTAGGAATTAGGGATGTGCGCGACGACTAATTTGACTGACGTTTAAGCGAAAGTTTTGTATCCGACTAGTCGACTAGTCTAAAAGCAAGAAACCCCCAAAAGATGGTAAGAAAAAAAAACTCTGGCGCCGGCGGGTTGCTTCTAATTCAAAATAATCCCACACCTTCTCGTCTTTCGCATGGTCATTTTTGAACTCGCCGCAACTGACACGAAGAAAACGCATGTGAGGTCTGAGGTAAAAATTTAGTTTCCGCCCAGATAAACTTTTAAAAATAATGTATTATTTTTCAAACGTTTTATTTTAACTTGTTATTTAAAATGTTTTAAATGCAATGTTAAAATGACGGTAATTTGAATGATAAAATCATGGTTTTTTTTTCTGTCGTGTAATCGACTATTGTTTTCAGTGTCGACTAGTAGGAGCTGTACCGTTTAGTCGACTAGACCCGCACATCCCTACTAGGAATAGACATCTTCTCACAATAATGTTAACATATTTGTAAAAATCAACTGTTCAACCCCATTACCAAAGTTTTTGAAAGAGAAATGATCCTTTCATGTTGTTCTATTTTTAGAAGCTAATCTAGGAGTTTAATGGTTTTAAACTGTATTCAGGCTTTGTCCTAAATTTAGGTAAAAGGATTGAAAAAAATCAATCAAACCTAAATTAAATAACGTAAAATGAAACCTATAATGTTTAGTTGCCTGAGGTGGACAAGACATTTACTGGAGGTTAAGTCCTGTTTTTACTCCATTTGTGCAAAGTCCACACTGTTAATGTGATCTTGTTCATTTGTTTAAATATTATATATATTAAAATTCAAATGAAACCTGATAGTTAAGTTAACATCTCCTTAAAAGCCTCCGAGATGTAGGGTTTAAGTGATTCTCTTTGTAATAGTACACTAAACTTACTCTGATCTGGCGATAGCAGCTATTCCCACCAGTCCCTCCTTTCCCTTGTTACTTTCCCTAGTGTTTCTGGGAAG